GAATTTCTGACATGGATGACAATGCTCTGTTTGGTGGAACAGAAGAAACGTTAGCAATACTGTTGTAGGCCATACTTTAACAATTCAAATGAAAACTTCAAGCACAAAATCAAGGAAACATATATTAGCACAAGAAAAATGTTAGAACGATAGGGTAACGGTCCAAGTTCAAGCCCACAGCCAGCAAATATTATCCTATTTAGGTTTTCTCTTTCGGACTTTCTCTCACGGCTTTTAAATGCGTCTACTAAGGAGAGGTTTACACACCTTTATAAAGAATGTTTTGTTCTCCTCTCCAACCGAGGTGGGATCTCACAATCCACCCTCCTTCGAGGCCAGCGTCCTCACTGACACTCGTTCCCTTCTCCAATCGATGTGAGATCTCTCAAATCCATCCCCCTTCGAGGCCCAGCGTCCTCACTGACACTCGTTCCCTTCTCCAATCGATGTGAGATCTCTCAAATCCATCTCCCTTCGAGGCCCAGCGTCCTTACTCGCACATAACCTCGTGTCCACTCCCTTCAGAACTCAACCTCCTCACTAGCACATCTCCCGGTGTCTGGCACTAATACCATTTGTAACAATCCAACCCACCGCTAACAAATATTGTCTTCTTTAGGCTTCCCATCAAGGTTTTTAAAACGCGTTTATTAGGGAGAGGTTTCCACACCTTTATAAAAAATGTTTCGTTCTCCTCCGAACTGACCTAACTGTTGTACATAACTGTTGTACATAGCAGATTTAAATTTGAGAAGGAACATCGCTGACTGTGATGGCAACAAGTACAAACCAGTCAGAGCATAAGAGAAGGACCAAAGAGATCGATCCTACAAACTTACTCGTTCCCCGAATTCATCTGAACACGACGATAGTTACTTGGTGCAGGGACTCCATTAACTATATGACAACTTGAAATTCCATTACCCATAGTATCAATATGGGGTTGACCTGGGACTGTAGCCATGGATTGCTGAAGGACTGGGTACCCCATAGGTAAGTTATTATCTGCACTGCAAAAAAGTGTTTATGAACTAAATTAATTCAATCACTTAAGCATAATTTGATGAAGTATGGATGTCTATAAGCATATTGTAGAAAAGGAACCAACTTACCAGGCATAGGGTGAATTCCATTTTGTATAGGTGCCAATGGAACCTTGGGAGGCATATTATACTTCATCAGGTGATATTGATGCTCAAGCAAATGGTTGAATAAGAGGATTTGTTTTCTCAGTTTCAACCTTATATAATATGCTCGGAAAAAGTCGGCATTTTCTTCTTCCAATTTTTGCCATACTGAATTAAGACGATACAAAATTATATTTTAAATGAAAACCATGTAGCATTTACTGCAAACAACAGATAAATGGACTAAAGATCCTCTAAACCTACATCATACATGATCATTTATATAGAGAGAGGCGGCTAAAATATATAATGTCCTTGTCTATATAAATGGATGGTTTCAATTTTGCCCATTATATTTTAGAAGATTTAATGAGATTGTAATAGCCCAAGGACACCGCTAGCAGATATAGTCCGCTTTGGCCCGTTACGTATTGTCGCAGCCTCACAGTTTGAAAATGCGTCGTTTAGGGAGAGGTTTTCACATCCTTATAAGGAATGTTTTGTTCCCCTCTCCAACCGAGTGAGATCTTATAATCCACCCCTCTTGGGGGTCCAGCGTCCTCGCTGGCACACCACCCGGTACCTAGCTTTGATACCATTTGTAACGGCCCAAAACCATCGCTAGCAGATATTGTCCGCTTTGGCCCGTTATGTATTGCAGTCAGCCACACGGTTTTAAAACGCGTCTGTTACGGAGAAGTTTTTACACTCTTATAAAGAATGTTTCGTTTCCCTCTTCAACCGATGTGGGATCTAACAGAGATAGAAACAAAAGATAGAAGAACGGCAATAACTTGTAATAACTCCCAAACAACGTGAGGTACTTAGACCTCTCTCTCTTAAGATCAGTCAAGCTTAAACCAACTGAACTAATAGCTTAAACCAATTTGAGGTACTATATATATATTTATAGAAGTGATAAAGAACAAGATAATATATTTAAATGAGAAAAACAATAATCAAGAAATCATTGCAGTAAGTTCCAGTTATACCTAGAGTTGTGAATCCCGGATCTATTCTTGCACGAGTCAGGAGTGTTTTAACCACCTGATCTCTGTTCATGTATAATTGTAAGCACCGCTCAATTAAATTCTGGACCTAAACACCAAATTTAAAGAACTTGTCAAAATATCATAGCATCGCATATATGAATAACTGGAAAGACGGGAATGAAACAGGAGGATGAAAAGAACATTCCTTCTAAACTGAGGAATATTTATCTTACAAATTCAATATCTTGAGGAGAAAGTCTCTTGCTGTCATTGCTTGTTGCAGATACCGAACTTGATTCTGTAATAGGTGCCTCAGTTGTATTTATTTTGTCATTTTCTTTCTCATTTGCTTTGTCAATTGTTGAATCACGAGAAGCTTGAGATGATTCTTTAGTGCCCTGAAACTCCAAAAAGGTCTTTTAGAATACAGTAGTCGGCAACATATGAAAGAAAAACCTCTCGTTTGCAGGTTTGTGTTCATAGAGTGTTCATAGACATGTTTTTAATTAAAACTTTTAGAAGTTTATGCATTAGCTACCCCTTTTTTTCCTATTCGACATTTTCCCATGTCCATATAAATCCTAGCTTGCTATAATGCTACATGGTATCCTCCTACAGTAATTCTGAGGCTTGGACGAATTTGAATTTGCCAAGATATATCCGCTTAACAAAGATCCTCATCATGATCGTAAAGACATTTTGTAACCGTCCAAGTCCATCGTTAGCAGATATTGTCTTCTTTATAATTTCTCTTTTGGGCTTCCCGTCAAGGTTTCTAAAACACGTCTACTAGGGAGAGGTTTCCATACCCTTATAAAGAATGTTTCATTCTCTTCTCCAATCGATGTGGGATCTTACAATTCCACAATTCATCCCCTTGGGACCCAGCATCCTCATTGACACACTGCCCGATGTCTGGCTCTAATACAATTTGTAATAGCCCAAGCCCACCACTAGTAGAATATTGTCCACTTTGCCCCCATCGCCGTTAGTCTCACGATTTTTAAAACGTGTCTACTAAGAAGAAGTTTCCACCCCTTACAAAGAATGCTTCGTTCCCCTCCCCAATTGACATGGGATCTTTTAGAAAACTCTTTTATTTCTGAGGTTTATAAAGCGAAGAAATGAACTAAAGTAACTTAGTAAAAGAACGGCTAATAATCAAGAGATAGAGGGGAACCTGTGTGGTCTTCATATTATCCAAATGCAGGATAACCACATCCTTTTTCTTTTCCTTTTATGGGTTAGATACTTCTCAAATGAAGTTCAAGCGATAGAACATACTGTACATATGGTGTGGCAGAGTTTCAACCAAATAATAGAAGCTTTAATAGAATCCCCCTGAAACTGGTTGGTGAGCATATAATTTAGAGTAAAAAACAACACAAATTAAAGCAAAGAAATTTGTACTTAAATCAAAACATTAATAGTATTTCCTTTTTTCACTTTTATAATATATTTCTAAACTATTCATTGGAGAATTTTGTTCATTTAATAATGAAAAAGAAGGGAGAAAATAACCAAATATCAAAATATGCACGGCTCGGATACCTAAAAGATTATCCATTAAGAATAAAAAACAATAAAATGTCCCAAGATGTTCAGCACAGATCTTCCATAATGGCAGTTTTAGATTATTATAAGAGAATGAAAACAAGGATCTAGCTCCACTTTCCAACCCTTTTCCCTAATAAAGAATTGGTCGTCAAAGGCACGCATTTTGAGTATAAAAACGCCTTGATTTCAGCTCAAACAAAAGCTCAAAGTAATATTTCTTTTGGAAAAAAAACGGCCAGATTCCCAGATCTAAATCAAGCTCATTTTATACTAGTTCAACAAAGACCAGATTCCCAGAACTATTTCTCAACGAGAAAAAAGTCAGTGCAAAAAAAAGCCAAAACAAACAGTTCAAGAATGAATAAGAATAAAGAAAGAGCAAAAGGTAGCAAGGATCTGCAGTATTACCCAACATCAAGATTCTAGAACTCAAAAAGAACACAAATCTCAGCGAAACTTTACCACGAAGCTTAAAGAATCTCAAAATTCCAACAGAGAAGAAGATCGCGATGAAATCCCTTTAGAATTTACAATCAAATAAAATGAAAAAAAAAAAATGCTCATAATCGAGGATTAAGTCCAAAAAAATCGATCCATTACGACAGAACCTCGCATTAAAACAGATTGGGCGAAGTGAGTATTATGGAAATGGAAATGGGATTAGTGAGTGAAGAGAAGTAAAGAAAATTATTGGGGAAGTGGGAGTAGTAGGACAAGGTCTTGGCGTGTAATAGGATTGAATGTTTTCCGGGAAAATGGTGGAAAAGAAAATGCTGGAAAAGAAAATGCTGGAAATAGAAAGTGAAACGGAAGAAAATAAACCTAATACTTCAAACTTCGACAACAACTTCGTCCATCTGTTGTCGCCTTCTACAGCGCCATCCATTTTTTTCCGCCATTGAATTCAACCACATTTTTTTCTTAAAGCTCCACTATTTCATTTTTCATTTTTTTTTTATATAATTTAATTTATAAATAATATGTATATTTTCATATACCGAAATTAAAAAATATAATAATAATAAATTAAATTTACGAAAATTACGATAATTGGTGGAATTAAAATAAAGTTTGATTATCACATAAATTAATTTGTCAAAATTCATATCTAGATTTTTCAAGCTATAACTTCAAGTGTTTGATAAAACTTACTGAAACCATTTTTTTCAATTATATTTGTTTGTAGACATTCGAAAATGTTGTAAATGCGTTATAAAGCATACTTAAAGTACTTCACCCGTTTTTACCGATTTACATTTTTAACTTGATTCAATGCCTACATGCCCTTAAATCCGAGAGTACACCTCCTCCTTCGCAATCTAGGTCTTGAAAATTGTTCGAACAATCTACTATATCCCTCCCCCATCTCCCATAAGGCTTCACTGTTCACTAGTCCGCTGCCTAATGAGACAAGAAATGGAGCGAAGTCCTCAAACTTCAACCAAGCTGGCATTAGTTAACTTCAAGTCCTCCACAAATTGTAGTATTCCTATATCTCCCTGAAGCCTCCACATAATGGCACATTCTTTCTCGTGGGAAACAAACAAACAAACAAACAAAAAAAAAAAAAAAAAAAACTTCCCTTGCAACAAACGGGAGGATAGAGGAGAAACTCCTCGATCATCTCTCGACAAGCCATATGTTTGGTTCAAGCCTACATCAAACTCCTCAAAAAGTTGTTTCCAGACTGTGCTGGCAAATTTGAAACTCCTCGATCATCTCTCGACAGGCCATATGTTTGGTCAAGCCTACATCGAACTCCTAAAAAATATTGTTCCCAAACTGCATTGGCAAATTTTAAACTCCTTGATCATCTCTTGACATCTCTCGATAAGCCATATGTTTGGTCAAACCTTGTTGAGGATGGTTGGGAGAGAGTCCCATATGGGTTAATTTAGGAAATGATCATGGGTTTATAAGCAAAGAATACATCTCCATTGGTATAAAGCCTTTTCGGGAAACCCAAAGCTAAGCGATTAGAGCTTATGCTCAAAGTGGACAATATCATACCATTGTGGAGATTGGTGATTCTTAACAAAGCCTACATCGACATCTCAAAAAACTGGTCCCAAACTGCATTGGCAAATTTGAAACTCCTCGATCATCTCTCGACAAGCCATATATTTGGTCAAGCCTTGTTGATGATTGCTAGGAGAGAGCCCCATATTGGTTAATTTAGGGAATGATCATGAGTTTATAAGCAAGAAATATATCTCCATTGGTATAAAGCCTTTTGAGGAAACTCAAAGCAAAGTCATTAGAACTTATGCTCAAAGTGGGCAATATCATACCATTGTGGAGATCGGTGATTCCTAACAAAGCCTACATTGAACAACTCAAAAAACTGTTCCCTAACTGCATTGGCAAATTTGAAACTCCTCAATCATCTCTCAACATCTCCCGATAGGTCATATGTTTGGTCAAGCTTACATCGAACGCCTCAAAAAACTGTTTCCCGAGTGCGTTGGCAAATTCGAAACCCCACAGAAGATAATCAAGAAACTTTGTCAGCCTCATGTAATGGATGCAACACAACAGTGCCATCAATGTGAAGTGGTATCACAATTTCAAGCTCGGATTCCTTTGGTCCCAGTAATGGTCCAACCACGCTATCCAACATGGAGCATATTTCCATCATTTCTGGATGAGATGGATCCCCAACAAGAAACTCGTGAACGATGCCATCGACCTCGATCGAACTACATCCAGGCATCTTCTTAACTCCAAGCTCTTTCATTTTCCTTCTCACTTCCTTTGCATCTTCCCACCTGTGGGCAAAAGCATATATATTCGCAAGAAGTGTGTGAATGCTAGAATCACATGATTCTATGTTCACTAGTTTTTTGGCTAATCTTTCACCCATGTCAACATTATTATGGATTCTGCAAGCACTAAGCAAAGCACCATAGAGAGGAATCAGAATTGCATCATTTTCACTGGGAATCTCTCGTATCAGTTCCTCCGCTTCATCCAACCGCCCCGCTCGACCAAGGAGGTCGATAGCACACCCATAGTGTTCTACCTTTGGCTCAATTCGATAAACCGTTTTCATCGAGTCGAAATACCGACGTCCTTCCTCTACCAATCCACCATGACTACAGGCACTTAGAACACCAATGAAGGTGATATCATCAGGTTTAGCTCCCTCGAGTTCCATTTCTGTGAACAGCTTAAGCGCTTCACCGGTCTCCCCATTCATGGCAAGACCGCAAATCATTGATGTCCACGATGTCGTGTCCTTCTCCTCCAACTGATAGAAAATTTCTAAAGATTTATCCACACATCCACATTTGGAATACATTTCAATGAGTGCAGTACCAACCACAGTATCCATTGTTATTCTGTTCTCAACTAGATATCCATGAATCCATTTCCCTTGCTCTAGAGCTCCCAACTGCGCACAGCCCGTAAGAAGAGCGACTACCGTGAACTTATCTGGCTTTACCTTTTGAAATTGCATTTCGCGAAACAAGGCCACAGCCTCATCAAAATGGTTGAACTGCACATACCCATTAATCATTGCTGTCCACAGAACAACATCTCTAACTGGACTTCTATCAAACAAGTCTCTAGCCTCTGTTAAATCACCACAGTTAATATAGCTAGAAATCATGCTGGTCCAACAAATCACATTTCTCATTGGCATTTCATCAAATATCTTGCGGGCAATATCTAAACACCCACATTTTGCGTACATATCTAACAATGCATTATTAATTATAGTGGTAAAACCAAGCTCCTTTCTAACATAGTTGTGAATTTCCACCCCCAGCGCCAGATTTTTCAGAGCTGTACAGGCAGAAAGAGTGCTAACAACAGTAGCTTCACCAGGTTTCTCATTGCTTTCTTGCTGCATTTCCTTAAATACATTAACAGCATCCTCAAATCTCCTACACCTAACATACCCAGAAATCAAAACATTCCAAGAAACAGAATCTCTCCTCGGCATTTCGTCGAACAGCTTCTTGGCATTCCCAACCTTGCCCAATTCTGCATACATATCCATAAGTGAATTACAAACATAAGTGTCACAAACCATTCCCGTTTTCACCACAAAACCATGAACCTTTTCACCTTTCCTCGCATCCCTTAAGCAACCAATGGCTTTTAGAACAAACGGGTAAGTAAAATTATCAGGCCACAACTCATCTTCCCTCAACCGTTGAAATAGCAAAAGGACTTTTCTGAAAATACCCCTTTTGGCATACGCTTTAACCATCACATTATAAACAAACAGAGATGGACCTTGTATGTAATCGAACATCCTCTCTGTGTAGTGCAAGTTTCCAACAGATGGATCCGCACAAAATGCCATCAATTTGTTGGTGGTGTCCCTGTCCCGATCCAGACCGATTCGAAAGATCTGACTCTGAATTTGTTTGAGTTGATCCATGGATTTGCAGTTCCGGAGATATTCGATGCATGATTTCTTTGTCAGTTTGGAGAGTTGGGGAGAAATTGGAACTACGTGCAGACTTGAAGAATAATGGCGGGAAAAAAACTGGATTCTTCGAACGATCAATAGAGGAAGCATGTGAGAACTTGGATGTCGCATTCTCAATAAATCCAAACTATCAAGAACATATATCGATTATAAGAACTACGCATTCTCTACCCAACATTTTCAGCATGCTAACAAACTAGTCCACGACCAAGATTCAATGCCAATAACACATGAAAACACAAACATAAACCAATACATATATCACAACTCATTTCAATCGTACACAATCTCAACAGCAATTACATAATTAACCAGAGTTTAAGCAAATAAAGCATAAACAACCAAAGAAACCGCACGCAAACACAGATTATCAGAAATTAATTAAGCTACACTCTAAAGTAAATCAACCTAAAAGTCCTTGCAGGATCGGATTAACGAGATTTTACCGATTGGATTGCTTTTTATGTCCGAATGGATCCGTTACTGCTGATCTCACTTCAGAAGAGTGCGGGTTTCCAAATCCAGGATCGTTTGAGATAGTTTTGTTTTGCTGAGTTCGATCATGTGTGGAACAGAGGCCAGGTTCGTGGTGGGTCTTCGCGCCGCCGCAACCTAATTTGGAGGTAAATTTGGGAGTTAAATATATATATATATGTTTTTTTTTTTATTTGAATTTTTTGTTTTTAAATAATTTTTAAAATTTAAATATGCTTATCAATTCCGTGACGATGGTACAACCTGGCCGTTGTATTTGTGACCGTCGTTACCATATCCATCCATCCTAACCCTTAAACCCTCATCCTTCCCTGCAAAACCCTTAAACCCTAATGCTCCATCCTCTCTAGCTTTTCTTGTTCCTTCTCCATACGAAGCTTTCTTGCGGCCATCCACCGCCGCCGGTAGCTGCTGTTCGACCGGGAAGTTGGAGGTTCTACTATGCCTATTAAGCTCCTCCCTCGCCTCCATCTCCTCCACCATCCTCTTACACGTTTACCTCTCATGAAGTTCGAACCATCAATTCGGCAATGTCGACCAATCCCCATTTTCACTCGCGTTTTCCCTTTCAAGCTCAAGTACGCCTCCGTGTCGTTCTCTTCTCGCTCTTCGCAAAGTTTCAATGGAGTCCGACGGAGCGCCGCTGCTAGGGGCTCCGAGAGAAGAAGGTTTGGGGAATCTAAGAGTCTGGCTGAGGATGAGTCTGAACTTAGCGATTGGGTTAGTGACTTGAAGCCCAGCTCGTTTCGTGGGCGAATCACGAGCGATGAAGATTCGGAAGATGACCGTAGGCGTGGTAGAGGAAGGGGAAGAGATAGGGATTGGGAGAGGGAGTCGCCACCGTTGAAGAGGGGGAGGGATCGACCGTCGTACGAGTTACGGGAGTCGTCAGAGCGTCGGAGTCCTCGAGGCCCTTCAATGGAGTCGTATCCGAGGAGTTCGCGGAATGTTCGGCGACCCAATCGCGAGAATGAAGATGAGAGAGAAGACTTCCGCTCCCGCAGCAATGGTCGTGTATTTCGTAGAGAGGATGTGGATTCTTCGCGTGGAAGAGGACGTTCGACGAGAGAAATTAATTCGAAAAATCCACGGATTCCAGGTCGCGAGAGTTTAGGGAGAGGTGGAAGGGATTCTACGAAACAAGTCCGTTTTGTAGGTAAAGGTGAAAGCGAAGAAGAAGAAGAAGACGACGACGACGACGATGACGAGGGACAGATAATCAAAAGTGGTGTTAGGGATTTTCTCAGCGATGAAGATAGTGCCAGCGACGACGATGAAGATGAAGACGATTCTCTATTGAGAAAAAGTACTAGTGCTTTGTTCCCATCTGGGGCGAACGTGAGCGACATGGATCAACCACGAAAGTCTCCAGGAAGTTCTGGCTCGTATTTGAGTGAAACTAGGTAATTAATTGCACTGAAACTGCAATGGGCTATATCCAATGATTTCTGTTGTCCTAAGCTTGTTCTTGCTTTACCAATTAGTCGAGATCTTTCATGTTTTCGTTTCAATTTCTGAAAGTAATCGGGTAGATAAGAAATCCAGGACTATCCAACAGGAGGAATTAGGGGTTAGAACAAGGACTTAGAAATTTAGTCCAAAACAGAAGAGAGAACGAGTGCAGAATTCCCTAATTTCTTGCTAGATATCTGAGTCACAAAAGGGAACCACAATATATTATGACAGAACCCCAATAAACAATTGAGAATTTCAATCTTTTGTGAACTGGGAACCACAAGTTTTTTTCAGTCTGCATCTTCACCCCCCNACAGTAGGAAGCAAAATGGGAAGAACTATTCAATGCAAGTGAAAATAAATAATTTCCCTGCCTAAATGGATGCATGACTGCTATTCATGCCTGCAGATTCGATCAGTGCTCGGTATCACCATTGTCATTAAAGGGTATCAAGGATGCTGGTTATGAGAAGATGACTGTAGTACAGGAGGCTACACTTCCTCTAATACTGAAAGGTTTTATTCTTTTCCTAAGGTGCTTGGGTTTAAATATTTTGCGTCCTTAATGTAGATCAATATCATTCACTCCTGTTTTCCAAAATTAATAATACTGTCTGATTAATTCAATTGTCTATTGGACAGTTCATTGAGCACCTTCATAAGGATTTGCAATTCAGTGCATCCCTGAAACAACCATACATGTACTTAATTTCCTTATCTTGTTGCCTAGTTACTCTTCTTACTGGTAATTGCACTTGTGTTTCTAGGTAAGGATGTTCTTGCCAAAGCAAAAACAGGGACCGGAAAAACTGTGGCATTTTTGGTACGTTACGTGACTATCCTATGCAAAAGGTCATTTACATTTGATAAATAAAAAGAAAGAAGTTTAATAGAATGGTCATACAAGTTACTGAAAGGCAGCATCAACAACTTTGTGCTCCAAAGAGATTAGCCCATTGTTGCTCTTATCGTTGAGTTAATCTAAAAAAACTATTTTCTAGTTAATTATGTTTATTTTCCCTTCAGTTTTTGAGTCATCATTGCCCAACATCTGAAATACACGTTATTTCCATTATGAAATTGGACCAATGTAAAGGAGTCCAGCGGCAGTTGCTAGTTAGCATGACTTTTATTCATTTTTTCACCTGGAATGATACTGCAAGCAAATTTAGACGCTATCAACTTTTCAACTTCTTTATTTCAGCTTCCCTCAATTGAAGTTGTTGTGAAGTCTCCACCTACTGGTAGTGATCAGAGGCGGCCTCCAATTCTTGTTCTTGTTATATGCCCTACCCGAGAGCTTGCCACACAGGCTGCCACAGAAGCTAATACTCTATTGAAGTATCACCCAGCTATTGGCGTTCAAGTTGTAATAGGAGGTACAAGACTTGCCCTTGAACAGAAACGCATGCAAGCAAACCCTTGCCAGGTTAGGTTTTCTAACTCACAGTAGCCTGCAGGTAGAGACTATTCCAACTGTTTGAATTCGTAGGCATAATTATTGTCATTGCCCTGAATGTTATGCAAGCCGAATATCTAGATAATAAGTGGCCTAGTATATTGGAATTAGTCTAGCTACTACTACTACTGAATGCTGCATATTCACTTGAGCTGGTTAGATACAATCAATTTGGTCAGTGAGCTTCTGATTTAAGTGAATCATTATGAAAAGATGATGATGGCAATAATTTTTGACGTTCACAAACTTGGAACTGCAGATTCTTGTTGCAACTCCTGGAAGGCTAAAAGATCATATAGAGAACACTCCAGGTTTTGCTACTAGACTTATGGGTGTGAAGGTCCTTGTCCTTGACGAAGCCGATCATTTATTAGACATGGGATTTCGCAAGGACATCGAGAGGATTATTGCTGCAGTTCCAAAACAGAGGCAAACTCTTTTATTTTCTGCCACTGTTCCAGAAGAGGTGTTTTATTTACTTCTTTTACCGTGCCGTTTCTTATCAAACCCCTTCATTTGAATCCAAGCAAATACTGAAATGCTAAACGTTCCTCTTCAATAAAGGTCCGCCAAATCAGTCACATTGCTTTGAGAAGAGATCATGAATTTGTCAATACTATTCAAGAAGGAAGTGAGGAGACGCATGCACAGGTAGGACATATCTTAACCAACTGGATGGCCCCTATACTATCTTAATGAATTTGATCATATAATAGCCTGCTGGATCATTTCAGGTGAGACAGATGCAAATAGTTGCTCCACTGGACAAGCATTTTAGTCTGCTCTATGCTACTCTTAAAGAACATATTGCTTCTGACGTTGACTATAAGGTATCAACTTCAATCATGGCCAACAAATTTATACCAATAGCTCAATTTTAGTGGTTTCTTGATCTGTTGTAATGACGATGGGAAATTCCTAGTTATTATTCTCAAAATCTTCCCAATGTGTGAAACAAAATCAAATGATATAGTAGACTTGTTAATTGTTTAGAAAATACTCTCTCTTGATGGATGCAGGTTCTTATATTCTGCACAACTGCTATGGTCACGAGAATGGTTGCCGACCTTCTTGGTGAGCTGAAATTGAACATTAGAGAGATCCATTCTAGGAAACCACAGAGTTACAGGACCAGAGTTTCCGATGAGTTCAGAAAGTCGAAGGGCCTCATCCTTGTAACTTCAGATGTTTCAGCTCGTGGAGTCGATTATCCCGATGTGACCCTTGTCATACAGGTAATTTGCTTTCTCGTTTGACCACATAACACATGTTGATGAGTAAGTTATGGTCAGTACTACTTTTACTTGTATCTTAGCCTTTTTGGACTGTACTTTGAATCATCTGCTGAATTCAAAAGCTCCTTCCCTTTAGGTTGGTTTGCCTTCTGATAGAGAACAATATATTCATCGCCTTGGTCGAACTGGACGCAAAGGCAAAGAAGGGCAAGGCATATTGTTGCTAGCACCTTGGGAAGAGTTCTTTTTGTTTACAGTTAAAGACTTGCCTATATCAAAAGCTCCATTGCCCCTAGTCGATCCAGAAACAAAGAAAAAGGTCGATTTCCTTATGTTTCTTTTTTTTTTTTTTTTTTCCTTTCTGAATAACGAAATAAAAATCAATAAAGAAGTATCTTTGAGAACCCCTAACATTCAAATGTGAACAGGTGGAACGTGCTCTAGCCCACGTTGAGATGAAGAACAAGGAAGCAGCTTACCAGGCATGGCTTGGTTACTACAATTCAAACAAGACAGTCGGGCGGGACAAGTTTCGGCTAGTCGAACTTGCCAACGAGTTCAGTCGAAGCATGGGACTGGATACTCCTCCTGCCATTCCCAAACTAGTACTTGGGAAGATGGGTCTCAAGAATGTCCCTGGCTTGCGCGTGAAATAACTTGAGAGTAAACGTTTCTTGGGCGCCAGTAAGCGTGGTAGGTAATAAGAAACGATTGTTTTTTTTTTCAGCTGATTGATGTAATTCATTCTGTTTTAGATTGTAGTGGTTTAAATGAGTAAAAACTTGAAGTTTTAAATATATATATTCCTATAGGTTTGCCTTTGAAACCTTCCAATTCCAGAATAGATTCTTTAGTTTTGTATTATCCCAAGCTCTTCTAAAGGGATTTTTGAAC